CTAACTGTAATTTCTAATTATTATTTAATTTTTTGTTATTATTAATAGTTGGTAGATTATTGTGCAATTTTATCGCTTGTTGGATTAAAATCAAATTAAAATTTCGAGTCAAAGTCAACAATTAATTTTAATCACATATTTTATGTGATTCACAACTTTTCAATCATATACTTTTTAAATTTTTTATAATCAAAATATACAAAAAATTTGATTTTAATCTACTAAAGCCAAGGTTCTAAGATTTTATTTAAAAGTTCATCCTGGTTGAACAGTTTTTTTTCTTTTTTGAATTATAAAAATTTAAATGAATTTCTCGACATCAATGATCATTCGATATCTACCTTAATTGTTAAATAAGTAATATATCTATTTTCATTTTTATCCAAAAAACATTATTTATTTTGAAACAAACTTATTTATTGATTTATAAGCAAACTTTTTAAGCTCAACTAAACATGCCCAAGTTTGTTTCTTTACGGTCTGCATGGCCAACAAATCTACAATTTGCGATGCAATATCTAGGGGTGTCCAAAAGTCCCGAATCGAACCGGACTGAACCGAACCCGAACCCGAACCGAATTGAGCGGTTCTTCATAAATTAAATACCCGAACGGGTACCCGAATCGAGAACCGATGGATTTTGGTCGGGTCTCGGGTCTAGACCAAGAACAGAAGAATCGAATAAGAACCGAAACTAAATAATTTTTTTATTTTTTATATTGAATTAATTAAATTATTTTATTTTTTTCTAAATAAATTAGCAAATTAATTAAATAAATCAGATTATTTCATAATTTTAATTTTAAAGCTCAGATCATTTTTAAAACTCATTAGCCCATTTTAATTTGAAACAAATAAATATACTTTATGTAGTGTTGCTGTAATATTAATATTTACTTTTTGGTATTTATATGCATTGAATTAATCTTATTGGACGTTTATTTATTTATATGTTTTTGAATTGTGCTACGTTAATTTGTAAAAGTTACGAATGAAATGTCCTTAGTTGTATTTATATAGTGTTGCTGTAAATATTTAAAAAATTAATTATGGTACGGAACCGAATCGAACCGAACAGAATCGAACCCGAACGGTTCCATATTTATATTTGGACCCGAAGGTTCCATTTATTAAATACCCGAAAGTTTTGGGTCGGTTTGAGTCGGTTCGGTTCGGGGTCTCTTCAGAACCAAACCGAACCGACCCGACACACGGACAGCCGTAGCAATATCTGAGTTAGCATCCATACAACTCACTCAAATTTAGGTAAATTTCATCTGCAGTCACTAACTTTTAGTGAAGCTTCAATTGAGTCACTATATTTTAATTTATCTCAACTAAAATTTAATTTAATATCCAGGATCACTGAACTTTGATTTTAATTTGAAATTTACATTTGTAACATGCCATCTCTCAAATTGAAGAAAATTACTTTTAATTACTAGTAATGCCACACAATCGTTTCACGACATGCCAACATACCATGTAATAAAAAAATTGTCTCTTTGGATCAAATTCTTAGTGTTATTTATCAATTTCCCCATTTAGATATGTGGACAAGGATGAAGCCTATATTTTGTGATGCCTAAAATTTAAGATACAAATTTATCCACAGCAGTATTGGACGCAATGCATTCTAAATGATGTGTACCTTCACATAGTTTTTGATTCGACGAACATTTACTTATGTTGTTGTATGTATCTACAGCATGTCATCGGAGAAGACTATAGTTGTCCAAACCAAATTAATAATAATAGTGTGCGAATATTACTCCATAAGTTTTGAAATGCCATAAATTTTACGAGTTTCTTACGTGTAATATTATTTCGTCTAAAAGCTTAAATTGTAATTCCACGTGACGCATACCGTATTGAATAATCTTATCTAAAAAATGTGTCTCGATTGGACCCTAATTTCTTAAAACTCATTTTCAATCACACATTTTATGGGATCCAATACAAAAACTAGTAGAATTCACTGCAGAAATGGTAGAATAAGATTATAAAATTTTTATTTTCTGTAAAGCCAATGTACAACAATCAATGAAGGGGATATCTCTAGGATTAATCTACTTGTACAAAAGTGGATGACAAAAGTGAATTTACAAAATGATGTGGCAAAATCTATGATGTTGATATCAAAAAGTATTTTTTAAATCATTGATTGAAAAGATGCCACATCACATTTTGTAAACCATTTTTGTACAGATAGCATACTCATATCTCTTATCCCCTCAGGAAAATTAAATTTTTTTACAATTGTACTTCAGAATATTAGAAAAAAATTGATTACAGAGTATGGATATACATGCATGCAAAATACAGACTTCTTTTTTCCATCAGAAATTCATGGCAGTAGCACCTTACTTCGATTTCTCTCCAACATCCCTTCCATAATGACTCTTTTCTTCTGCACCTCCGTGTAAATGTCCTTTACGGGCGACTCGACTCGGGGCGGGGCCCAAAGAAAAGACAACATAAAGTGCAAGTTAATATGGCAAAAACCTTCCCCAAAATAACCAGAGAAAATAAAGAAACCAGAAAAATACAGATTCCAGCGTATGATTCATTGAAACCCTTTTGCTTATTGATGTTGAGGTTTTTGTAAACAAATGAAGATGATCTTTTTATTTCTGATAAGGACCTTGAGTGTGAAGAATTAATGGAAGAAGCAAATGAATTAGAAGATATTGAAGTTGAACGGCTTGAAGGGTTTGATGAGAATAATGAAGAAGAGTGACTCGAATTTGTTCTGAAAATTACTTTGCAATTTGATGAGTCCTTGTATGATACAGATTTTTCCACAGTTTTTTCATTTTTTGAAGATACATCACTGTTTGATCGAGACTTCTTGCCCTGAAGTTTCTTCATCTGTAAATTAGAAAAAATGGACGAATACATCGTCAATCAATCAGTTCCAATATAAAAGAAGAAGCGCGATTTATGTCCAGAATTTAGAAGAGGAAAGAAAATAATTTTATCAGTAGATGACATATTAGATGGATACTACAAGAAATTTTATTTTAACCACGAAAACTTTTGCCTTGAAATCTTCGTGAACTACCATTTCTCGACTAAACAATCCAAGAACGAATTTCTCGTAGCAATAAAAATTTACATAAAACAAGAAGAGCAAAACATCATCAATCTCATCAAAAAAACAAACATTGAATTCAACCATCTTACCAATGATGTCTCAAAAACCACGGCTTTGACCGCGCGGGAATAACTCCGGCGGACTTTCTTCTTTTTCCTGACACTTTCATCTTCGGATAACGCCGGTTTAACCGCCCTTTCATCGGAAGTTACAGGTTTGAAACACAAAAAAAACTTGCTCAATTCTCTATTCTTCACAGGGAGGTCCATCATCATATAATCAATACATCCATGCAAATTTCTACAGAGAGTTAGAGGGCGCGGAGAGAGAATGAAAGACCTAATTTTTTTTCCAGGGCGTATGTTTAGGGAGTATTTCTTCGTGTGTGCGTATTTTTCGTTGAATTCAATATCTCAGTAGAATCTGAATATGTGTAAGAAAAAAAAAGGAGTTATTATAGGATATGATATTTAAATATAACTATGTTTTGTGAGCAACGGTCATGATGAGAACCAAGTAGGAATAGTATTTACGTAACCCACAACAAGATTAGAACTAACTCAAAAAAGCCAATAAATTGAGGTTTTGGACTAAATCCAAAATTAATGAATCAAGCAACCAAAACAATCGCCGATAATATGTTGACCCCTTGATTACATGACTTATGAATCTAATCCGGATGTTTGAACGCCACAAAAAAATGATTCTTGATAAGTGTAATTGTTCAATGAAGAACAAGGGATTTGAAAACTAAAAAATTCACGATTAATTTTCAATAATAATAATGTAGGTTTTCCTTGCAATGAATATAATGTCAATATTTGTAGGAAAAACCTAAAATCTTAGTCTACACGAAATTGATGCTAAAAGATTACATAAAATATCCACCCAAATTAAAACTCTAATGAAATAAGGAAAGGAAACTCGTATCTTTTATGTATTGCGTGTCCCTAATCATATAATCCCCATCTCTTTGATAGGATTCGTCCTCGAATCCTTGTTATGATAAGATTTCATTCTCTAGTGGGAACGCTCAAAAGTAAATATTACGTCTATTAATTGATGTAATTATTCAAGAATTTAAGAAGCATGTTGTGTCGCGGTAATAAATTTGATAAATTCGAGAAAAATAAGTAATTTTGTAACTGCACGAGTAAGTCAATAATTTTCATAATAAAAAACTTACTCGTTGACCTCTTAATTTGTCATCAAACAAATTTTTTATTCTTATTTTTTAAATTTGACGAACAATCGTAAGGAAATCTCCAAGAACAGTCTTCCATTCATTTTTTTTTTTAATTATTATTTTTAAGTTCCAAAGCTTTTATTCTAACTTCCAACCCCAAGCAAACCACCATGCTCTCCAAGAACACAGTCTTGCATTCAATTACAGGCGAATTCCCTAAAAGTTAATATTGTAGGTGGATTCTTTAAAAGTTTTCTATCTCATTTAAAACTTTAAAATATCACGAGGGGTAGACCGCTATTGAAAATTTATAGACAAAGAAAGTGTATAACTAGGTTTTTGCGGAAATTGAAATCTACCAATGAATATAATATCAATATTTATAGGAAAAGCCTAAAGCTCAAGTCTACACGAAATTGATGCTAAAAGATTACATAAGATATCCATTCAAATAAAAACTATAATGAAATAAGGAAACTCGTGAAAAAGGAAACCCGTATTTTTTTATGTATTACCCGTCCAGATCATATCATCCATTCTCTCTTCGAAAGGATTCGTTCTCGAATTCGTGCCTTGTGATCGCGTAGGGTATAACCAACTTGATACGAATTTTATTATCGCACCTCCTCTATCAAATGGAAAACTTTTCCCTTCCTGCCATAGGATCAATGCATGGCACCCATCAACTTTGTAGATATGAATGTATTGCAGCATGAACTCCATCAGCCATATTTGTTGCAGTATGAACTCCCAAGTACATATATCAACCTATAAGAAAGAATTAAGTATAGCACGGTTGAAACTGTTAGCTTCTCCCAAAATAAAATATGGTTCCTCGTACTCATGAGGTATTGCCTCCACCACATCATGCTTAACAATGATACCTTTTTGTTGCTTCTCTTCACTTCCCACAATATTTTCAACATTCAGGTCAACGTTCTCCCATGTTTCCTCACTTTCTTGTTGAACCATTTTTACAATTTTTTCATTCTCCTGCTGAATCATCTGTACAATTTTTTTTACCAGCCTGCCAGTCCTCCTCCTCTTTTATTTGTTCACTCTCCCCAATATCAATTGCATTTTTCAATTCACCATCCTCCATCTCAACTTTCCTATCTCTAGGCTCCTCTTGCAATTCAATCCCGATATTTTCTTTCGGTGTGGTCATCTTCTTCTCTTGCTTTTTCTTCTCTGCTTCTCCTCTCTCCTTCCATTGGTTTGAAAATGACTATTCTAGTGTCAAGCCAGTCAGAGTGATGTTTTCCCCGTCCTAAAGAAGCATATGCTTGTTCCTCCCCATATCATAAATAGCCTTCATCTCATGCCTCCAAAACCTCTCAAAGAAGATATAAAAAGATTTTAATGGCACTACATCACANAAATAAAAAAAAAAAAATTCGATTTTTTTTTGGATTTTTTTTGCTCGAAAATTCAACTACGAGACTAGCAAAGAAAACGAAAACTGAAACATTCACTAAAACTTGAAACACCACAAAGTCCACAATAATTGAAACATTCTAATGATTGTTTTGAAATCACGTTTTGGTACCAAAGAAATATATTACCCTAATTCTATTCCATTGAGCCCAACAAATGGAAAGACGGTCACTTTTATATTAGCCCAGGTTTGGTGATCATTTTTTTAGAAAAATATTATTTTAAATAGTGATTTTTTTTTTTTTTTTTGTAATGTGTAATTAGAAAGTATGATTTTTTTTTTTTGAAATAAGTGTATAATATTTTATTACGTGAATGTGTGGTTTTTGAATAATGTTATTTAGTCCCAATCTAATTTTTATATATAAAACCATTATTCATTTTGACACGTATTTTTTTTGTATAGAATCACGATAATACTTTTTGTGGCATGAAAAATAGCGTATGCTAGTCCCTTTGGAGCTTAACTCAAGAATTAAGATTTGTATTAGAATTTCTAATTGAGTGATCGGACGTGAAATTGTTATAAATTTTAGTTATCATCCTCATCACATGATTCCAATCAAAGGCACGACGACCTCCTCTAATACCATTGTAATTTGTACCCCAAATTCAAGTATATGATGTACTACTGGTAAGAGATAGTTTCTCAAGGCAGACCTTTGATTCCCAATTAATACTTATAAGCAGCAAAAAAATAAAAAAAAACGTTGCCTATTGCAAACTAGTCGTTACTTTAGCTAGCGGCTAGCCTGATAAACCCAAGACCGACTCTTCTAACTAACCACCATGGCCACCAAATCTGTCCTCCGCCCTCACTCTCTTCCCAGCGCCTTCGTTTCTCGCCGCGGCCTCTTCCCCAAATCCGTCCTCTCCACCACCATCTCCTCTGCCGCGGTCGGAAACCTGTCATTTTCAACCATCGCGTATGGCCCCTCCCTCAATAAAGGCCACTCACCCAATATCCTCAAACTGCGGAACCCGTCCTCACTCGAAGACACCAGTACTAACAGCAATTTGGTGCAACTAGACGTGGACGCATTCAATCGGGTGTTTGACATTTCTGCCCTCCGTGTCCCCTCTGACCTCTGCTTTAATCTCGAAAGCCGTCTCCGTGGTCACCTCCTCAACTGGCCTCGCATTAAGAACGTTGCCAGAGTCCCTGGCGATGAAATTGATGATCAATTCAAAACCCTCTTTCCTAAATCCGACGATTACGAGGAAAGTGATGCCTTAGTAACATTGAATAGGAGGATTTATGGGAAAGCCGAGGGGGATGGGGAGCTGCATACCCCGGTTTTGTACCGGGATAAGCTTGCCAGGACGTTTAATTCAAGAGGGTATGTGAACTTTAGGAATTTGGCAAAAATTTCTAGGCCCAAAAAGAAGAAAAAAAAGGATGGAGTGGATAGTGATAATGGTCATACAAGAGAGAAAATAGTGGTTGGGAGGAATGAAATGGCACTGCTGGAGGTGGTTACAGAGGAAGATGCCAGTGAAGGGGAGGATATGAGTAGTTTGTTAGGGAAGGAATTTGCCAAAAAATGGAGGGGGCCGACAAGGTTGCTGCTTTTGGATGAGCGGTACTCGAATATCAGGACTAGGGAATTGCCTGAGAGTATAAAGGTTCTTTGCCGGTTGCTTTATTTGTGGGGTCTTTGTATTGATAGGCGTGACCCTATTCTTTTCATAGTTATGTTTATCATGGTGCTTTGGTTAGATTGTTACTGTTTTTAGTAAACATTTTATGGTGATTATAAGATAATGCCAGTTATTTATTTTTCTTTGTTTAGAGAAAGTTGTCTGTAATTTTGCACATGACAGATAATAGATTACTAATCCTTAAATTGCCAGTAATGTGATACAGGGTACTCTTGAACTATTAGACATGAAAGTTAGAATGATTGGCGTAGATCAGAATTAAGATATAATAGGGATCAAGGATATGCCGAGATTTGACTGCAATACATTCATCCGCCCATTGCATGAGATTTTTGCTGCTGGACATTTAGAGTTCTGCCAAACAGTAACGGGGCAATATTGCTATTACCTTTTTCTTTATCTTTACAAATGAGAAGTTCTGTTATTGCACAGTGTGGAAATTGTGATTTGGAAACTTGAAGTTGTGTCTGATGTTAAAACTGTGTTGTGCAGGCAGTTTTGGAAGAACACAGAGGGCAAAGTACCTTGTCAGCGTTTGAGCTTGTAAAATGCAAGCTGACTTTGTTTTATAATTACTGGCAACAGAATGAGGTACTTTATTTAAAATATGTAACTTACACAATGCACTCTTTTCTTTCTCTTATGTTTTTGCCTTCTCTTTTTCAACGCTAGCTTCTTGTTTCTCCATGAATGTTATAATTCTATTCACACGCTTTCCTTCTAATTGTTCTCCTTACATGTTTACACACGATCTCTTAGCACTTGGACTGTCTGCTAAATTATATAAGTACTTGGGATGATATGAGACTCAGTGCATTTAAGCACCATATATATATCTGTGATGCGTTCTAGAATTTATTACCATGCCTTCTCCATGGGTCAAGTTTGTGACACAGATATTTCTTGCATTTACAAGAGTCAGTAACATTCAATACAAATAATTTGTCCATTGTATTTAGTGTTTTAATAGGCAAGATATGCTGAAGTGTTATAGTTTCTATATTTTGTATTTTCTTTTGAATGATTTCATATTTCCATGACCATAAGAAACTTATTTTCACTTCAGTTTGTAAGCTAAAATACTAGAAGTGAGTTCATTCCTTCTACAACTCCCTGCTGATATGTCCTGCAGGCAGAAGATAGGTGCAGTGAATTATTAAAATAAAGTCTACAGATTAGTAGTTTCTATCGAACTTGTATAATATGGTGATATGTGTTTCTTACAGATCTTAGAGGTTTTGCTTCCAAAAGGTATGATTATTCCTTCAGCTTTCGAAACTGTTGGGCATATTGCGCATCTGAATCTGAGAGATGAGCATCTTCCATATAAAAAGCTTATTGCAAAGGTACTTCTCCTGTTCATATAAGTAACATTCAACTTAAGTGAGTAGTTTAGCGTCGTCCTGATAAGTTTCATCCAATAATCATGGCCTTTTATTTTGTTTTCTTTTATCCCTGTTCTCACCAGGTAGTTTTAGACAAGAATGAGCCAAAGATACAAACAGTTGTCAATAAAATTGATGCTATTCATAATGACTACAGAACCATGCAGCTTGAAGTTTTAGCAGGAAATCGTTCTCTTGTTACAACAATAGTGGAAAATGGGTTGCGTTTCCAAGTAGATTTAGCAGCAGTGTAAGTCTAGAAAGGAAAAAGATGCGTAAGTAAAAAAAGAAAAGTATTGAGTTGAGTCGCATCTCATGTTTAATATTTTTTTTGTTATCTAAAGATACTGGAATTCAAGGCTGGCAACTGAAAGACAGAGGCTTCTGAGTTGCTTCACACGTGATGATGTTGTGTGTACGTTTATTTCCAGATGTTAAATTTCTAAAATATAGCTTAAAAATCAAATCTCAATATTGTGCTTCTTATTTTTCTTATCAATTTTTACAGGTGATGTTTTCTCTGGTGTTGGTCCAATAGCTATATCCGCAGCAAAGAAAGTGAAACATGTATATGCTAATGATTTGAATCCTAATGCTGTTGAATATCTAGAAAGAAATTGCGTGCTCAATAAACTTGAGAGGAAGATTGAGGTACAAATAGATGCCAATATGCGAGCATAATTTATATGTTATACTTGTTTCGTTAGAGCTAATATTATATTAATGAATTGAGTGTCAAAATATGTCTCTTGAATGCAAAAATCTTGAATTCTCTGCCATGGCCAAATTTGGCTTTGCAGATAATATTTGACTTAGATAAGCCATGCCATCTCTATCTTGATTTATAAGATCTCTGTGTAATTCAGAGACTATTAAATCTATGGGTGCAAGGTTTTACTTGGTATCAAATCCTTTGTCCCCTCCTGCTTCCTGCTAGGGGCATTTGCAGATAAAAGAATAAGAAGAACTACACAGGAGTTGACTTTATTTCTCAGTGTTCATCTGAAAGAGTATTACATACATTCCCTTTGTGACCTAGTTAGGAAACCTTTACTAAGATATGTTTTATGTTAATGAGCCATTGCTTATTTTACTTTAATACTTAATATGTAAGTGGAATAATGTCTTTTTGTTCTCTGCACCGTAATAAATACTCCCTCACTGACAACCAAAAATTATTTCTAGAGGTTCTCCACTTCCATAATACTTTGAGCTTGATATGTTTAAGCTCTAAGTGATACGTGTCCATAAATATTCTTTCTTTTTCAAATAGGATTTACCTGGGTCGACACTGAATCGAATTATGGAGATTAAAGTAGGAAAATACACAGTCCTTGAGCTTGTCAAATACATCTTATGATTTGTTTCGAGGCTTGGGGGTCGGTTGAAGAGTGTACAGAGATGAAATAAATAAATGAATGAGATAACATGTCTTATGTTCCCTGAGTTACACAAAACATGAACGGTTTACATTGCACACAAAAGAAGTCTAGTGAAATTACCAAATCTCTGGTTACCTCGTGCTTTTACTTTCTGTCATTGCATTCCTATGATTAGAAAATGATGTGAAAGTACACATCTGTATAAAATAGCTTGAGTATGGGTTTCAGTTTCATGGTTTTATTCTGTCTGTCAATTTCTAGGTATTCAACATGGATGGGAGAAGGTTTATTGAAACAATTTTTGCAAGTCAGAGAGCTAAATCTATTACGCAAGTAGTCATGAATTTGCCGAATGACGCAGCTGAGTTTCTTGGTATGTTAGACTCAAAATGCTTTGTTCTTTTCAAAATTGGTCACTGCAATTTCATTTCCTCAACATTTCTGTCTTGTTTTCTTTACTTTTGGTACTTGCACTTGCACATAACTAGTTATTATTATTTTTTTTTATGGCATGCCATATTTGACATGGCTAGGAAAGATGAGCTATTTAGTTCTGATTTTAATGAAGATTGTTAGTCCTTGGCCGTCTTTAAGAATGAGGGGCCCCAGAATCAACGTCGCGAGTTTAATGTGTTGTTATGTCCGATTCTAAAGAGGAGTTAATTGTCTCGAGAATCATCCTTGTTCATTATAATTGAATTTTATCTACTTTGTTGGTATATCTTGTTCACTTTCAATGAAGAGTTCCAATTTGACATATTTATATCGTGAAACCAAAAGCAGTTACAAGAATCTTCTGAGAGTGAAAATTTTCAAAGGTTTGAAGAATTATTCTGCAAAGGAACTCATAAATCTATATAAACCATAAAGGGAAAACAATAAATAAGTTTCTACCTTCTCTCAAAAAATATTTTTTGTTATTTTTGTACTTGCTGTATGCATTCTATTTGGAAGAAATTGATTCCCAAGTCTATGAAGGTTTCCCTCCAAGGATGGTCGCTGGTTGAATGATCAAGATTTTGTCTTGAAACATGTTAACTGCATTTATGTTGTGCACTTTATTCGATGAGTTCTATTCCGTTTCCCAATGTCTGCAGATGCATTCCGGGGAATATTCAAAAGAAACCACATAGATAAACAAAGGGCGTTGCCTAGGATTTATGTTTATGGGTTCTCAAAAGCTCAGGATCCAGAATTTGACTTTCACGAGGTATAGTTCTTTTTCCGCTATCTGAGTAACCTGAATCTCGATTTCTAATGTGTACGAGTATCTTTGTGTATCAGTTTTTAGTATAATCATTTTTTCCATGCTATTCCATAATCAGCGAATTAGAATTGCACTGTCGGAGGTTGCTTTTGAGGTAGAAATGCGCAGGGTTCGACTTGTAGCTCCTGGAAAATGGATGTTGTGTGCATCATTTATCCTGCCTGAGAGAGTGGCATATGCAAAAACAGGTTCAATATTGTAAACAGGAGCAACAACGTTGTATATAACTTTCATTTATAGCACAAACTATTCTTTATTTTATTGCCTCTTCATCATGTAGAACAACGACTATGTTGGTTATTATCATGGCATTCTGAAGGTGCTTCCCAATAATTAAATATAAGGAAATTTGGAAATAAATGCACCATTTCTCTCTCATCAACTTCCCATCAATTTTTATTTTCAAGAGATTATTCCATATCAACAAAATTTCCAATTTGAAAAATCTCTCCTCAAAAATTTCAGATCAGTTTCCCGATAAAGAAATCCCTATATAAACAAGAATTCTTCCGCTACCATGAATCTTAATTACATTACGGGTGTGTTTCATTGTGAACATGAAAAGAAAATAAATTATAGGCAATTCAATTGCTTAAGAACTTATTTGTATGAAAATTATTAATTAAATGCGTTTGATTGATTTAGTTTTTAACCAAGAGAATATTATACTTATCTATTTTTATTGGTGAGTAGATGGGATGAGGGATATATGATAGAGAGAAAAAGAGTGAATTATATGAAAAATAAAATTTATCAATTCCTAAAGAAAATATTTTCCTTGTTTTTTAGAAAAATATGATCACACGATCAAAAGTTGGAAAATATTTTTTATGGAAAAAATTGTCAATCAAACACTTCAAAAGTAGGAATTTGAATGAAAAAATGATTTTTTTTTTTTTTTTTGTGAAAAGTAAAGCCGATCCACTATATGTTATAATTATATGTATGTCACATTCAATTAATCGGATCATGTTACAAGTACATAATCATTTACATAATACATTACATAATTAACATGTGGCGAGCATCCATCGGCAGTCTACAATTTTTGACTTTTTCACACTTCACATCCACGATCGAATTTCTTCCACATATCCTATGTAATACATTATGTACAATAATTATGTACACAAATAGAGTTATCCTATCAATAAACCATCAAGTGTAAATAGAAATGTCGCAACTGTAAGAATGAATCATATATAGCGTTACGTATACCCAAAACACCCATTTCCATTTCTCTTCGTTTTTCCCCCATTTCAAAATCCTATCTCACTTCCCTTCCAAAAACCAGTCAACGCACACAGAGTCAACGCAATCACAATACCTAACCCTAACACTTCCAAAAATGCAACACCCTTCGCCGGACTCCGACATGCCACCGCTCGCCTCTATCAAGGTCCGCTCCTCCTCCCCGCGCTTCCCTCCCCCCACCACCCCTTTATCCACTGAAACCCCTACGGCCAATGCCCAGCGGAAGATTGGCATCGCTGTTGACCTTAGTGATGAATCTGCTTTTGCTGTTAAGTGGGCTGTACATAACTATCTCCGTCCTGGAGATGCTGTTGTGCTTGTCCATGTTCGGCCCACTTCGGTTCTTTACGGGGCCGATTGGGGGTCTGTTGATTTATCCATTGTTGATACTGAAAATGAGGAGTCCCAGCGGAAGCTTGAAGATGATTTTGATACTTTTACTACTACGAAGTCGACTGATCTGGCACAGCCGCTCGTGGAGGCTCAAATTCCGTTCAAAATTCATATTGTGAAAGATCATGACATGAGAGAGAGACTCTGTTTGGAAGTTGAGAGGCTTGGTCTCAGTACGATGATCATGGGCAGCCGTGGATTTGGTGCCACCAAGAGAGGGAGAGATGGGAGGCTTGGCAGTGTCAGTGATTACTGCGTGAGGCATTGTGTATGCCCTGTTGTTGTCGTTAGATATCCTGACGAGAAGGATAATGCTGGCGGTGGAGAGCCAATGGTGTCTGTGGCTTCTGTGGCCGAGGAGGATGAGGAGCAAGAGTATCACGACGCTCCCGATGATCGCAAAGGTCAATTTTTTTTTTCAACTGATTCGAATGCATTTTCTAGTTGTATTTTTCAAGCAGTTGTGTTTAATGTTGTGTGCCCCACTCATGTGGGCACAAACAATTCGAAATCTTTACGGTAGATAAATTATTAGGATTTATAAAGCTTAAACAGAGGCTTGCGAGGATTTAATATCTTGTAGAAAAAGGATAAATGGTGTTTATATGTTCCATTTAGAAATCGACATTAAGGCTGGCTGCATAATTTGGATAACTATAAATAACATTGAATGATAGATGAGGAATAGTAATTGAAGGTTGACAATCTTTTTCCAGGATTTTTTACTTTATTTGTTATTCTGGGGTAAAGGGTGTCCTGGTGCTTTTTACTATGTTCTAAATTTATTGCCCTCTTGCAAAATCTGAATCAAGAATGTTGGCAGATGTTTGTTGTTCCATTCACTGGCCCCAGATAGATTTCCGATGAGCTAAAATCTTGTAGCATCTCTAATTCACTTTCTTTTGTGAGGATTTAGGGCATTCCTGTTGAATATAGAGCAGATCAATGTAAATATGTGTTTATCTTTCTCAAAATTTAGTTCCCAGTTGTATATAGACAAATTTGTCAAGATGTTTTATACACCATCCAAACCACAGAATTGGTATTTGAAATAAACTTATTCCTTCGTGAATGGATTTCTTTGTGAATTTCATTTTCCTAATGCTTATTACACAACATCAGTCACTATAACAGCCTCTAAATTTTTGTAACTCTTTCCTCCTCCTTTGGTATTATGAATGTTGTCGGGGTGGCTTGTTCATTCTCTAGAATAATTTGTTCAACTTTTAAATGAAGGAGAAACCCAGAATGAATCTGATGACTTGGCTTTTTACTTAAATTGGTTAATCACCTGACGTGTCAATCCAACAAGTTTTTTTCAATTAAAAAGATTAAACCTATGTTTGGCTCATGTTTGTAAAGTGTTTATAAACACACTAGCCACTCCATTTAGAGGGATCCACAAGTACTATTCACTTATCTACAATTCATTTTTATTTATTTATAATTTAACAATTTATAAACACTTCCTAGACATCACGTAGAAGTGGAAAGGTTTGAACGGACACTTTCGCTGAAAGAGCAAAGGCAAGATCAATTGTTTTAAGTTAGCCACTTCAATATAAATTAACGAAATAACGATATTCAATCTTAAACATAGAGTAATAGATTCTATATTTTGATGCTTAGGTAAAAAAGGAATTTTACTTTTAGTATTACACTGATGATGCGATTACTAATTATTTATTATCTTCCTGCATTTTCTTTTTAGACTATCCACAAATAATGATTTCTATCTAAAATAGATGCTTTATTTCCAAATATACCATTAAAGTAATAGATTGCTAAGGGTTCTTGGTTAAGTGAAAAATGAACTTTTACGTTACACGTCTGTTATATGTTCAACTTTTACCTAAATCTCCTGCTTATTTAATCTAAGACTAGTTTCTATACATTGGAATAGTTACTGAGCCCTTCAGCTGATTCTTTTTGATCTGGATATAATAATTATGACTTGATTGCATTCACCTTACATGAATTCATGTACTGAATAATCTTTGAACTTTTGTCTTGGTGTTCAATTTTGGATCGCACAAGCTTTTTGGCCATCCTTAGTAGGTGCTCTATGCAGAAGCCTAGTATGCACACTACTTTTTGAAACGTGTTAAATTTTTACTAATGTAACTCGGGTAATAGTTCTTGGTGTTATGTGTTTTTGCTTAGTTTTGAATTTTGATGCAACATTACAAATTTGATTAGTTAAAGCTAATGCAACTAGATTGTAAAGTTAAGTGTTGTTCTTAGAAAGAAAGAGTCGTAGCTGGTGGCAACTTCATCTAAGACTGGACGATCATGAAACAATAACATCAACAAACTAAACCTCATTTCCGTTAAATTTGAGATTGGATAATTGAATATTTGTTCGTCGCTTTGGCAAACAATCTCAATATGTATGGAAAATTTTAAAATGTTACTCTATAGTCTCCAACATTAATTGGTCGTATGCAAATAGAAATGCCTTAGTTCATATCTGTCTACCCCCCTATTCTATATGAATTTGTGCATGTATGAAGCCAACACAAGTATGCGTACACGTAATAATGTACACTGCTGTTTTTGCTTGTTATAGTGTAGACTGTTGGCGTCTTTAAAATCTTCCCCTGTGTTTTGAATTGCTTAAGAATTAGTATTTAGTCTAGATATGAAATTTTCAGCTCAGCTGTAGTTTATTGCGAAGAACCATCAAAGATTACTTTAAGATAAGATCACTAAATATCTTGGACAACCAAAGTGTCTTGTAGCATGGAGATAATTAGCTCATCTTGTAGATTTGTTTCTTCAAATTGTTATCAACCTTTAAAACTAATGCTTCATAGATTAGTCCTCCTCCTAAATTGATCATTGATAGTCCTAACAGCATATCTTAACTCCTCCTTATCTTCTTATCATATGTACTTATAAGATGGTGTGTTAGTAGGTAACTTTGTCTCTCTTTTATTTTATATCTTAACTTATCTTAGAATTGTTTTAGCAGAAAGATGGTGGTTATTCTTTCTATCAATTGTACTTGTATAACGAAATAGGACACAAAATCACAATGAGATGACATCTGTAAATACTGAAGGTGTCCTGTCCTGGCTATTATGGTTGATATAAGGTGTTGGAGAAGGGCAATTTAGTTGAGAAGGCTTCTTCTTGTGTTTTTGTTTTTTTTCTGCTAAACCAGCTCGTTTGGAGATTAAATAATGATAATAGGTGCAAATTTGCCATAGTTTTGGATTTATCGGGAGGACTAATAGTGCTTAAATATGTGGAGACTCTCTGTGCTTCCATGAAAAAATATTATTCTTTCGCTTTGTATATAAGAGAGACACATATCATCTATATACATTTTAGTCTTTTTCTGGATCATTTATCAGTCGTATACATGTCAACATGTCTGATAAGGAAGTTACATCTGGTTCTCTTAATTTGAGCAACAGTTTGTTTACTTCAAATCTCAGCTTGCATGTTGCATAAGATAAGGCCCTTTAGAGATTCCACTTATTAAGTTATTCTTGAGTAAATTTTTTAAATTTGAACCCCCTTGGGTGAAAAACAAAAGATCGAGAGATTGCCCAATTTCTTTCTGATCGTGCAAAATGTTACTACTGCTCTTTTTGGGCTTCCTTTCGTTTTTCATGAAATTGTATGAATGCTTAATCTTATTGAACGCTTAATTTTTTGACAGATTCCTAACTTAAACAAGGGAGGCTCTGAGGTGGTTCTCATCATTGGCTGCGGGTATTTTATTTTAATTGTCTATTTATATGTTTATTGCACCAGAGGCGTTTACAAAATTTTCTGACGAATCTTTTTAATTCTCTGTTTTGCAGTATTGAAATGTAGAAGGCATTGCAGGCTACATACTATATATTTCAGTTTTATATGATTTAACGTTGTTTCTTTATGTATGGAGTATGCCTTGAGTATGAACAGTTGTTGCTTTTCAAACTTATCATCTACTTTTCGCGTTGCTACTTGTATCTTGATGGTATTGTGTTCTAAAACAGCATTAAGAGTTAGTTATATGCCCTTCGCTTTGTATAGATTTTTGCAATGTCTGCGCACTTATTCTCTCATAAGTTGAGCTGTGTATTTACTATTTTAGTTGCATAAGTTGTTCACTTGATGCACATTATGTGCGAGTTTGTTTTGGTCATGCTGAGTTGTGGGATTGATTGCATAAGCCGTCTGGGAGTGAATTTATATCTTTGCCAATTGAAGTTGTCTTCATATGTGCATTTACATTTTTGGTCGAAGTTTAAATTATAATTTTAATTATATTTTATATTTACAGGACTTACAACTTATTATTCACATATAGACGACTTCAAAGCACGTATGACGAAATAGCATGCATCAGTGATGCAATTTAACAGGGGACGCAGAAGAATACTGAATTTTTTGGTTAGAGATTGCCTTTTTTTTTTTTTACACCTTGATTGAGTACACCAAATGAGTCATTTTTGTGGGTTATATATCGACTATTCGATGGTGAAAAAATTAACAAGAAATTTCTTGATGCTTGATACACAAACTTAAAAAAGGAAAAATATACAATAAACAATAAGATTTTCAAAGATATATACCCTTTCATGAAGTGATAGCATCTATTCCCCACCCGGTGATAAGTGGTTTCAAATTTGTTGGGTAATTATTGGACAAAAGGCTGTTTGCTTTGTTAATCACAAATTGATTCTTTGCCTTGCAAGGTGTGTGAAGGCAAGTTGCGGGTGCAAGCTAAACAACGAGTTTCTTGTGTGAGCTGTTCAATGACTCGTTCACTAACTTGTTGGCTTATCTTCAACTCAACTCGTTATGATGAGTGAAATATGTGATTTTCAATTAAAAAGGAAAGAAAAAAAATTGACGAGTTGCATGTTGCTCGATTCGACACACCCCATTTAATTACTTGCATTTCAAATTCTTGAGGGGGCGATTCTTTATAAATGAAACATATGGGTTACCCTATTGTTGTTTTTCATCAATATGGTATAAATAACTTTTAATAATATGAAGGGTGCATAGGATAGGATAAGAACCACAAGTATTTACTTGGAATTTTTAAGCATGAATGGTGTGGACCCCATGGCCTCATCTTTCCCATCATCATCTATTATTACACAATTTTTCCAGCCAAGCACCTTGTCCAAATGCTCATTAACTGCACCGCTCATAATTTCTTTGCGGCCATAGAACAAAAGGTGGAGGAATCTCGTACGCAGTAATTCATCAACGTGGCATGATTATAAATTGACACCAAATATATTCTTTTATAGTTTTTCTTGAACGTGTCTATGAAGTTTTGAGGTAAGCACGTGTTTGGAGAAAGAAAGATTGGAAATAACATAATATTCGATTAGGCCAATATGCTTATTAGTGAAGAATCTTTCTCCCTATACTGAACTTTTGCAAAATAATTTATAAGTCAAAAAGATATGGAAAACTAGAGAAAAAAAGTAAAAAGAAGTAAAGCGATTTAAAGCATGAAGTTTTCAATTATACGTATGTAAAAATAAACTGCAATAACTTATTTCGAAGCGATTTGTCCAGTGAAAATAAGAAGAAAACTACTAACAAATATCGTTTGCTAAATGTATTTGATATGTTACACTGAAGAACTGCACAATAATTTACATAAAGCACACCAGACGCTTGTTTAAGAAACAAGGAATCCAATCTCATCAACTGCAATTTTTTTGTTTCAAAGTGATTTGTCCATTGGAATTTTACAAGAAAAAGAAGGAGAAAAATACCAAAAATTCAATTATTCTCTACTGATTTTACTGAGGCCTGTGATCATAGTAGATGATTCAATTTCTTGCTGGAATTTTCTGAGTGATCCCATGATTGCTGCTCTTCTTGATTTCATCTTCTCCGTCTGATCTTCGTTAATGGCCTTTCCTGATGGAATAAATGCATTTTCTCTTTGCAACTTCAATGGTCTAAAGGAAATTGATGAAGAAGAACCATTATTCTGATCAGTTAATTCTCCTGATGCTATTTTCGACGATGCAGCTTTAGGGTAAAACTGTGATGAACAACAACCATCCTCATCCTGTATAATTAAAAATAAATAAATCAGTTGATGTAAAAAATTTCGATCAAATTTCTAGACAGACAAAGAAACGTAAGCTACAAACCTCGGATTCAAAACGGTTGTCTCGAATTCTTTTCAATGAAGTCGAAGACAAATTATCCTCACTGAGTGAAGAACTTGGTGCAGGAGCTGCTGCAGGTGGAGAGAATGGTGTAGAACTAGAATTTGACCATGGAACCACTTGATTCTCTCCTTTTCCTTCCTCATCATCGTCATTCTCTAGGTCTTCACTATAATATTCTCCATCATCATCTTCACTTTCTTGGAGAACATCACGATCTTCATCTTCTTCATGATTTGCTTGTATTCTTCGGCTCCCACCATTTTCGCCGTCGGCACAAACATGGCAGATTGAAACTGTGGGCCCGATCTTCAGTCCTGAGGCTCTCCACGAGGTCGAAGATTGACAGACATGGCAAAGAAGGTTTCTTGAATGCTTTGCGACCAGAAAATTTGCACTGTGAACTTTTTCGTCGCAGTTCCAGCACAGGCTTGCTTGATCAGACTCGCAGTACATTCTTGCTGGGTTGCTGCATAATTCACAACTCTTTTTCGACATTGGTTTGTTATCCCCTTTGAGATTTGAATGGAGTTTTTGGTTTGTACATATACAGTTAAGGTTTGGACTCCACAGCCTGTAAGCCTCTTATACAGATTTTTTGGGTTAACGAAAAGTTGAAACACCAACAAATTGCAGCCAGTAAACTTCTTCACGGGAAAATGAGGGAAGAAGAGGGAAGAAATTGATTGGAAGAAGAGGGAAGGTGTTACTGTTCCAAAATGGGCATTTCCCCTTTTTTGCCTTTTTGTCATGTTTTTGCTTGAAAACATCCAAAATGATGTTTTGATCGTTTTATGTTTTGTGTACAAATTTTTTGTCGTTCTCAAAAACGCGTTTTTGAAAATAGGAAAGAGAACGCGTTTTCGCTGTTTTAGAAAATCGAAAACAGAAAACGACTCAAAACAGTCAAAGAGAACGGTCCCTTAGATTTTGGAAAATGACAATGGTAGGGCGATTAGGATCAGGTCTTCCATTCGACGCTGCCGCAATGAAATCCCTTCTCCGGCCTCTCACCAACACCGAACTATTGACTGGGGTGGGTGTGGTAATATTTGCGTAGAGAGAGTATTTATGTAGTGAGAGATTATGGTGGCATTGGGTTTCCTAAATTTCATGCATAATAATAATATCTTACAAATATATGTAATACATTATTGTAATTTATCACCCGAATATTGAAATATTTTTTCTAAATTTATTAAATGTGAAATTATATACTTAAAAGTATTCAAGTTATGTATTTTTCCCAATTCAAAACTACATTTATATATATAAAGAAGAAAAGAGAAAAAACCTTAAAATGCCCTATTTAATTTTGTAGCGTATTTTATATAACTAGTAATAAATACGTATCGGACGAATGATATGCATAATATTTTGAAATATAATATGTCAAAAAGTAAAGTATGTACACATGAATATTAGAACGTGAAAACGA